AAGAGTGTGATTATTGCATGCAGCCAAATGTGGAAGCAGCATAACAAGTGTTACGTCTGAGGCCAGGAATGCAGCCCTGCGAGAATGCTGCAGGGCTGGCAGGGTGTGGGTGGGAGCGGAGAGAGTCTGCCGCCATGTTCACATCACATCATGTCATTAGGATGTGAGTTCCTCGGGCCTGGTACCCACCACGTGATGATCACTTTGTGCTCTCATCCCCACGATCTTAAGGGAAGGGCCACTTAGGCCCTTTATAAACAGATGACCCTGGTAAACACATTGTCCTGTAAGTCCACAGCTGGGGTAACCTCCTGGCCACACTGAACTGCACACAGAATAGAAGCATGATGGACCCCACTGACAGATGAGCAGGAGGCAACTAAAGGAAGAGAAAGAGCAGTGATCTGGGAGATGAGCAGCTTGGTCAAAGGGGGGAGCAATTTGGGCAGTCTGGGGAGGGGTTTGGGAGGTGACGTTGACAAGGAGAGTTGTGACTTAGAAAAGGAGCAGTAAGGGAAGGGAAGAAACCCTCACTCAGTGTCATTTACAGAGACACAAAGACTGGCGGGTGCACGAAGTTTTATTTTGGAGACAGATGGAGGTGTTATGCAGATCTAGAGCTTTCTTCTGCATTCGTTGCATTTGAGAAGGATTTGGGATCTCCACCTGGAGATGGAAGCTAGCCAATGGTCATATGGGTTTCACTTTGGCAATGGAAACATAAAGTTTAGCAAAATAAGCATGTGGCATTTGAAGACATGAAACTAGAGGTGACCACCAGCACAGAAAGGGAGATGGAGAAAAAAAGGAGATTTAGGACAAAATTGTGGGGCTCTCCAAAAGTGAAGATAGAGAAGTAGAGGAGAAAATTGGGTATGAATAACCTGTGGGAAGGGCGTAAAGAGAGAATACGGTTTCAGCAAAGCCAAAGGCTAATAATGCCAACAGCAACATGGGGATTGTGACAGAGAAACATTTTTAAGGGAAAAAAAAAATGGAAAACTGTATCTAGCACTGCAGACAGTACAGGTAAAATGAGGATTGAGACTAAACACTGGATTTATATCTCTAGTCCTTAGTAGGGACTGGCACATAGTAGATGCCCAATAAATACAAGTCCAACTCATTAAATAAGGATTAGTAATTGGAGTTGTCATGCAAATTCAAGTCTTTATGCTGGTCCTGAAATGGACTGCTCCATTGGCACAGGATTTTTATATCAGAGCTGTTCAGTAATGGGGCATCTTTCAAGTAGCTTTAGGAGGAACCACAGACCATCTGCCTAGGATCCTGCCTAGGAATTCCTGCTTATGTGGGGTTTAAGCCAGGCAGTTACTGAGGCTGACTCTGGGTAGGGTTTCTGTCTCCCCACAACCTGAAACCTGGTCAAAGTACAGAAAGAAACGCCAATCCAGTCTAGGGTTAACACATCTGAAGCAAATCTTTTTCTGAAACTTCCTCCTCTGCTTTCTTCTCCTCTTATCTTTTATTGGCTTCCTGAAATGCCTTATCTGCAAAGGCATGATTCTGTTCTAAATCTCTGTCTATGAACACAATTACCATTTCTGTTTCTTCCACAAGGTAAAAATGAATCACAAGATGCAAGACATTAACTTTTCCACCCAGCCATAGGCAGACTGTCTTCATCTCTAAATGATGCACTCCCCCACATCAAATAAAAGCAGACGGTTTTATTCTTCGGTCTAAAGTACTTAGCATGACGGAGAGACATCTGCTGCAGACAAATCTTGGGTCTTTGGAGCCTTAATACTTTGAAATTTATTCCTCTTCACCACCTGGAGGCTCATGAGTCCGTTTGTGGACTTCTCCCCCTCATTCTGCCTTGCAAGCTAATGAGCACTCGCTTCCCAGACGTGCAAGTGTTAGCTATTCTAGTAAGACCCACATCCACACTGCGATGGAAAGAGTCGAGAATGAACCATCGCAAGCCTCCAGGTACCTTCCAGCTCCTCTCACTTTCATTTGTTCCTTGAAAAAGCATGCACTGTGGGCCAGATTCTGTACTGTTTCCTAGAATTGAATATAGAGGCACAGCAAGAAACGAGATTTGGTCATCTTTAAAAAAAAAAAAAAAACCTGTGTCATGAATGGGCTTCAGAAGCTCCAGAAATGATAGGCAAAAGTTTGTGTGTCTGTGTCTGTGTACCTGTGTCCAGAGAGAGGTTTATAATTTTCATCAGATTCTAAATCCAAAAGGGTAAGTATCCATCAAAATCTAAAGTCAGCTTTGACACATCTTTTTCCATTATCCCTGGCTACATACAAACAAATAGCCAAGGATTGCTGGGTCTTCCCCCTACCCCCAGATTGCTTTAGGTAAATCCTTCTCTCCACCCCCATACCTTAGTCCTGGGTCCTCTTCTCATTAGTGAACTGAAAACAGCTTCCCATCTCCCACACTGTCTTCGTCCTCCTCCAGCCCATTCTCCACCAGGCAGGCAGCACAGACTTTTGGATTTCTAACCCAATCATTATGACACTCTGCTTAAAACCTTTTAATGTCTTCCCACTGCTGTGAGCATAAATGACAACCCATAAACGATCCCACGAGCATTTGCAATCGCAACAACACATTACCCTCTACTGTGCTGTTTCCTTCGATGCTCTTGCCCCGTCCAAATTCTCTCCATCTACAGATTCTTCATTTGCTCTGCTGCCGCTGGGTTTGTGCAAGCGCTGTCACTCTCTCCTGAAGGGGCTCGCCCAGCTGTCTCGAAGTGATCATTTCAACTAACTTCTTCCCCCAATCATACCGACTGGATCAAATGGCCCATTTGTAAAACCTCCCAGTTCCGTGAAGTTCTTCATACTCTGCCCAGGTTAGAACCATGCAGGCTTGTTTGACCCATTGATTAACATTTATCATTTATTCTTCGGCAAACCCAGTTATTCACCATTGTATCTGCAGGGCTTAGTGGAATACTGGGCACATGGACAGTCAGGCTTAATTAAGACTCAGCAAATAAATTTAAAAATAGGAATGACCAAGTGGGTGAATAAATAAGGTAGGTAGTACATGCTGTGATAAAGGAAAGCATCCATGCTGCAAGGGCACAGGGGAGCCGGTGTCTCCTCAGGAGATCACATGGCAAAGTATGCGTCCTAGGCATCTTTGTGTCTAGCCCAGAGCTTGTGAGGTGGTGGGTGTAAGCAAGGTGCATGGACAGAAGGAATGAAGTAGAAACTAACTATCCCATAGAGTGAGGGGCTCTTCAAGAGGCCTTGGCATTTGGCATCAGTCACAAAGAACTGAAAGTATTCAGAACAAATGAAGAGAGAGGCAGGCCAAGGTCATTTCAAACAGAAGAAAAGGCAAATGCCCCCTTCCCTGCACTCCCCCATGAAGCCACAGAAACAGAGGGAAGGTCCACAGGGAGAAAGGAGGTGCAGTGAAGTAGACAGGGAACTGCACTTCCCAGGTGTTGGTCTTGAGTTAGCATCTGGGCAGCCATCTTAAATGTTAACCGCCATCTTCTGAGATAAGTTTCTGCTTTCCTGTATTTCCTCTTACCTGAACTCCCTTGCCCCCATTAGGGACCTACCCCATGGTACCATAACCCTAAGCCAATCCCAGAAGGACAGACCCCTTTGCACTGGAAAGCCCCATGGTGCCATAGACCTAAGCCAACCCCATGCTATTCCCCTCCCCAGCTCTGATCCAAGCCTATCCCTTAGCACCACAGCTACAATTCCAAACCCCTACCCTACAAAAGTTGAACCTCCTCTCTCCTCTCTGTGGAGAGATGGCCTTTGTTTGTCAGTTTTGACAATTTAAGTTTCGTGTGGATCTCTGCCAGGTCTCCGTCCTTCATTTCTCGCTCTCCTGTCTCTTGTTTTCTCACTTTTCCTTTCACCCCTGGGAGGGAGCGACGTGCTTCCCCAGCCTCTGGGAGCAATGAGACAAGCACCTCCAGCTGCAGACTCCTCGGGAGGGACAGTTGCCGAGTGCCACCTCCATCAGGGTCACCTTGTTTCCAGGACAAACCATTCCCCATGACTGGCTGAGAGGAGGGAATGAAGGCCCTAGCTTTTTGGGTGGACAACTTCAGTAGCATTTTGTTCCAGGGTTCCCGGTGGGTTTGGCAGAAGCCACTGTTGATCCTGCCTCACTGAAGTTTGCTCCTTCCATCCTCCCCACGGGAGTCGGTCTCACTGAATGCTGAGCTCTGTATTGCTTCTTCTTAGGGAGCCACAGTGCCAGCCTGGGTCAGGCTACAGGATCGGTTTATGCAGAGGAACCAACTAGGAAGACAGTTGAAGTGAAATGGTAAATGCCTTCCATTGTTCTCTCAAGAGATGTGGACCTGCCCTCCAAGCAAAGAGAAACGTGCCGAGTATCCAGTTCAGAGTCCTGTGTTGGGAAGACCTCTCTGGCTGCTGGGTGGGGACTACTTTAGAAGGAGGTAGAGAGGTACTCTATAGGGCTCTTGGATTAGTCCAGGAAGGAAACATAAATTCCAAGTGGGAGATGTGAAGGGTCATAGAGAGAAGGGATGGCATTAAGCATTGAGCAATTCAGAAGGAAAAATCAGTAACTCATGACACATTGACGGAAGGGGCAGAGTACGGGATGAGTGGACCATGACAAGAGAGCTGGTTAGTTCCCAGAACCAGGGGAGCAATGCTACTTTGGGTTAGAATCAGGAAAAGCACAGTCTTCCTCCAGGCTTTTTCCAGCACTGCCAGGTGGTGGAGAATTCGAATGGTAGCTGGAATCTTCCTGCATCATTCAAATGGATAGTAAACCATCAAAGTCTTATACAAAAAAGTGGTCATCAAAATTTTGGTTTGTTCATTAGTTAAGATCTAAAGGCTTTCTACCTGATATTATCAATCATCAAGCTTGTCAAAGAACATTCATGAGTCAAAAATATAAGCCTTCAAAGAAGATAAGGAGCAAAGGCATAAGTCTACAAGAAAGGGGGCCAACTTGATGCAGAGTGAAGAGAACTTGATAGGAATATCATTCATTGGACAGATATTTATTGAGCCCCCTTTCTAGGTACCAACCATTAGGCTGGGGCTGGGAACACAATGGCAAAGAAAACCCTGCTGATTCCATGTCAGGAAGCAAGCATATGTCTGGGGAAATTTACCATAAATAAGTTATGTGTTGGTGACCGCTACCCCCCACCTCTGCACGTCAGCTTAGTTCAAATGTCTTCCTATTACACATTTGCCACTACATGCTACTTTTGAGCTCAGATTACCTTTCAGGCTTTTCTCATTCATCATGACATAATAGAAAAAGTAGACAACTATACCAATCCTGATCTGACCCCTTACTAAGCAGGCGACCTTGAGGAAATTATACATCCACCCAATGGGGACAATTATACCAGTCTCCTAGAGTGCACTAAGACACTGTTTACATGAGCTTATCCACCACAGTGACCTAAAAGCCTTTATTTTCTGTGACTTCAGCTATAGAAAGTGGGGATAAGGAGGAGGAGAGAAATAATTTAAAGATATGACCAGAGATTACTACATAATTTGTGGAGCCTGGAGAATAAAATGATATTGAGAGGCCCCTTGTTCAAAAATTAGTAAGAATTTCTAGATTGCAATGACATTGTGCTAAGGCCAATGTGGGTGTGGGACCTTTTGTAACTGCACAGGTTACATATCCATGAAGATGGCCTGGGACATGATTTCCTTGTTTTCATTTCTTGGAGCATCTTGACTCCCATGTGTCTCTAAGTGAGCGTGTTCCACAATGAATATGACTCTAGTATAAAAATGCAGGTTTTGCTTACGTGGGTTTTGTGTCATGGGCACTAACCTGAGCAGTCTTCTTTGTGTGTGTGTATGTATGTGTCTGTGTGTGTGTGTACAGAAAACCATATATGCTGTTCCTTGATTTGAGGTCTCTCAAGGGTGGATTTTACACTACTTTCTCTTTACATGATGGCTTCCCTCACCCTGCAGGAGATGTAAATAACACATAGGTATCATTTCTCCTGGGCCTTTGAGAATTGGGATGCAGGTTTAACATCTAGAACTCCACCAACCCACACAGCAATGCTGCAAGGTAACTATTACCATCTTCATTTTACTTAGAGAAGAGAAGGGATTTGCTCCAGCTACCCAGCAAGTAGTGACAGGTCTGAGTCCAAACTTGGGTCTTTGGACCCAAGGTCCATACTCAGTCAATGATGTTTCAATAAATGTTCGCTTCTTCCAGTTTTCTCCTGCAAGTCTTTCCCCAACCCTTTGAAATGAAGAATTGCTTGGTGAACAGAAAAACCTGCTTTTCTGCATCCTGGTAGCAGACACTGTTCCCCAATTCCGTTTGGGCACGTAAGGCCGGAGGCAGAGCAACAGGAGAGCCTAAGAGTCAGGTCTGTGCTTCCAGGGCTCTGGTTGCCACATGGAGATGGCTTGGGACTGACATCACTCGTCTCCAGCTACCCCAGTGTGAGCCCATGTGGAGAGAATGCTGCAGGGAGAGAAGTAAAGGTCACTTCAGAGTGAATGATAGGTATAATTAATGTTACTGACGATGAAAAACTCAGTTGTTGAGAGACAAATGAGTCAGAAGTGAGCTTGAAACTACATGCTGTTGTGTTGCTCACATACTTTGGAAAAAGAAAAGTAATTTCCTGATCAATGCATACAAAATACTGAGTTGAAAATACCATATAAAATATAGGAAAAAAGCAGCTTGTGTGCTCAATTCCCAACATTTGCAAACACACACACACACACACACACACACACACACACACACACACACATTCTTTGGCCTGATTCTAGGCTCATCATTCCCCTTTAAGGGTTTTTCTTGTCTTTTCTTAGCAAATATCCAAATCCTACTCCATCATTCCAGAAGCAACAGTTCCAGCCAGGTGTGAGGGCTGCCCTGGTCTCTGAATAAGAAATACAGGTCATGGAAGGCCATGACTTAATTGCCAAATGGTGAGAAATTCAGTATATTTCCTACTTTTAGTGGGGAATGTCCTCTTCCACCTCCTTGTGGCACACAGACCTTCTCCATACTGAGTTAGTCATTCCCTTCTCCAGGCATCCTCAGCACTTGGTTCATGCATCTGCTATTGGACTCGATATGATGCACTGCACACATAGCTTTCCACCAGCCCAGTAAGGTCAGAGAATATCTGACACCTCACAGAACAGATCCGTGGGAGATTTCCCCCACTCAAACCATGAGATCCATGAAAGTATCATTCTAATATCGCTCATCTTTGCATGCCCTTTTGTGCTTGGCATGATGTTTTGAATAAAGTATATCCTCAATAAATGCTAACTAAATATATTTGCATCCATCGTTGCTTTTAATGATCACTCATTTGTCTCATTCTGCACAGCATTTGATGCCTCTTGGAAACAGAGGTCAGTTGATCTTTAATAACACAAAGATATTACCAGACTGACTGAAGGAGGAGTGCAAAGAAAAATATGTTCTGAGCTAACACAGATGCTGCTGTGCTGCATTATTTAGAATTAAAAAATGCAGAGGAGGTGTAACCGGTAGAGCATCAATGTGAAAAGACAACCCCGTGGATCTGTTTCCTGTTGACAAAGAATCATCTGGCCCACTTTGGTAAAGTAAGCCATTAGTCTCGACTCTAGGAAATTAATGTTAATAATAATAATACTGCCTTTCAGCCATTTACCATGTTCCACCCAGGAGCCTGCTGAGCCCTTTTGGATATTATCACATTAAATCCTACCAATAGCCCCGTGAGGAAGTAGTATTGTTGTATTCCCATTCTGTATCCCATTTAGAGATGAAGCCTCAGAGAGATATGAGAACTTGCCTGAGGTTGGATGTGGGAGAGCAGTGTCTGGGATTGGGGTCTCTAATGACCTCATGGCTGTGCATGCTTGTGCCTGGGAATGTTCCTTGGGTGCAGGATGCCTAGCTGCCGTGGCAATGCCCACATGAGGAGGCTCTGCAGAAGAATCTTATCGGCTTCAACCTTGACCCCAGCAAGTTGCAGAACAAGTAAAGGGAAGGACTGGATTCAAATCCAAACATGCTCTGAGCCCATACTCTAAACCGTGTGCTCTGTAAGGTGGAATAGGGACCTCAGATGAAGCTTTTAGTTGAAGTGTAGAGAGTATCACCTATTTTACACACTCCTTTTTCCTCATTTTGTAAATGAGTAAAAAAAGACTCAAAGAGATAAAGAAATGTAGAATCTTATGGCTGAAATGGAAATCTAGATTCATTCACCCTTACACCCAGCAGCTAAGAATATCAGTTGTTAAAGAGTAGTATTAAGATACAGTTGTATATCATACAATTTATCCACCTAAAGTTACAATTAAATGGTTCTTAATATATTCTTGTAGTTGTATGCCTAATTGTAGGAGGTGTTCAGTAGCAGTGAAAGAAACCCCATATAAATTAGCAATGGTCCATATCCCAGCCCAACCCCAGGCCTAAGAAACTGATAATCTATGTGTATGGATTTATCTGTGGCAAATGTTTTATAAATATATTTGAATCATACAACATATGGTCCCCTGTATACAGCATATACTTTTGATTATCCAAAATCATCTCAACATACGGTAGGTAGCAACTTAGAAATTTCTATTAGCCCCTCAAATTTCCATTAGCCCTGCTCCAAGATAAAAGTAAAATCTAATTTAGAACAGAGTGTTAGATATTTATTATGGGATAAATTGTGTCCCCTCTACACACACCTAAAATCCATGTGCTGAAATTCTAAACACTAATATCTCAAAACCGAAGCACTTTTGGAGACATGAAGTAGTCAAGGTACACCGATGTCATTCAGAGAGAGCTCTGACCTCGCAGAACTGGCTTCATTCTTCGACTTTGGACTTCTATCCTCCAGAACGGTGTGGCAATAAATCCCTATTCATTTACTTTGTGGGACTTTATGACAGCGACAAGTACAATATTTAAACATGGCTTCTACACACACTGCTCATCATCTTTGGACTAGTACATTGCCACACTTCTGCACCTCCTTGGCTGAAAATCAACATTTTTTTAAAAAATCAAATCCTTGAGAATTGTACCAATTCTTGCCTTTTTCCAGAGTTTCAACAACGGTGCAAGCCAGAATTCTAGAAAATATCTCTGACTCTCTTCTTTATGCCCATTTTCTTCGCAAGACACACACGTACAGACTTACACATATGCCCTTGCCCATACACATTCACACGTGCTCTCTCTCTCTCTCTCTCTCACCCACACACACACTCATGAACTCTCAAATAGTGCTAATACTGTTTAAAATGTTCCAGAACATTAAAACTTAAACCTACAAATTCCTTCATGAAGTCATCAAAATATTATCAGAACCTGAAAAAACAGAAACAGAAAATCATAAAACCTTGATAAAGAATATACAAACCTTAATTAAGATATTGGACGGTATAATCCATGGCTGTTTAAAAGAATAATATATCCAGATCCAGAGCAAATTAGCTCAAGAATACAAGTTTGCTTCCTATTATTGTACAGGCCCAGAGTGTTATCATTTGAGAACATCAGAGAAGGCAGCGTGACTTGCCTGTTAGAACACTGCACGGCACATTAACCCACAACTAATCTACTCTTGATATTTCTAAGTGTTTTTTTTCATGGCTTTTCAGGAATCTTTACATATCCTTTGACTCTGGCCACCATGTCACCCCACCTTGCTTTTAAATACACTAATGGTTTGGCCGAATCTTAATCTATTCAAATGTCTGTCTACACAGAGCCTCTTGCCAATATATGTGCAGGAAATTAAAAAATGCTCACTGCAAACATCTAATGGAAGTGACCAGTTATGTAATAGTAAAAAATAACCTTTCCCACATAAGAATTTGAGTTTTAAAGCCAAAAATCCATATCCTAGGAAAAAAATTCTTGGAGAGATTAAAATTCAACCCAACTCAAAATGCTGCTATGATTCTCCATTTCTGTGCAACAAAACACCTTCAAAATAATGGGAATAATAACTATCTATGACTGTCTCTCGCCATCCTGTGGGTTGACCAGGCTCAGCTGGTGGACTCTCCTGCAGGGTCTCATGGTTGCACCTGGTTGGCAGTTGGGCTCTTCAGCCTGCGGGTCCAGCATGGCTCCCCTGCAGGGCTGGCAATTCTGCTAGCTGTCCAGTGAGAGCTCAGCAGGGGTCTGGACCACAGCACCCAGGTCAACTGAGGTAATTGATATTATCAGAGAGGTAAGCCCAGAGACTTTAACGGGCACAGCAACCAAGGGCTGGCTGAGGTGGCACCACCATTACCTCCACCACACTGTCTGCCATAAAGGAAGCCCTTTAAACTCGGGCAAGGACCCTATGACATTTGGAAGTCTGGTTCTTGGTCCTTTGTGGAGACCTCTGGATCGACCTTCTGACATCCTCAGAGGCTCCTCTAGCATGAGCCAAGAGACAAGATTGGGCTCCCAGCTGAACAAAGTTAGCAATTCTTTAAACCTCTTCCATAAAATGAAGACAGATTTGTGTGTTTGTTTTTGTTTGTGTGTGTGTGTGTGTGCATATGTGTGTGCACACACGTGCATGTGTGTCCAAGGAACATGGTATGCTTCCATGGATATCAAGACTCCTTGCCCAGAATAAAGAACAGAAGACACAATAAAGCTACTTTCCTGTTGCCGTGCTCAGCCTGTGAACACTGGGCTCTCTGGGTTATAGGTGGCCCCTCATGTATTCAGTCCATTCCTTCATTCACAGCCCACAGACACATGGAGGCTCTCGTCCTTGGGGCCTCCCGGGTGAGCCTTCCCTCCCAGACTTCCATGGAGGCCTCTCCTTCCTTGATGCCCGACTATGTCTACACCTCTGCCAGGGTTCTTACAGCAACATGAGTTGTGTCAAGGGACCCAGACTTGGTGTGTTCTTGTCCCCTCTGTTCCATGTGCTCCTTGGAAGCAGGATTGACCCCTGTTCAAGTTTCTCTTCACTTGGACCCATTCTGCAGCACCAGTGGGTAATCTTCTGTTGCCAGGTAGTTGTCTGTTGTATTGAATGTGCTCTAACCCCCTTATTTCATAATTCAAGTGACCCAGGCAAGTCTGTGACTTGGCCTAGTATCACACAGCTGAACCAGAACTAGAATCTCTGTTCCTTGTTCCCCAACAAATGCCTGTGTCTCCACCAGTCAGTGCTATGGCATGCTAGGACTTGTGGGGCAAGTAGACAGCAAGACCTGAGAAACCAGGTACACTCGTCTGCCCATGGGTTTCAGACAGGTTCTCCAAGGACCCTTCTCTATAACTGCCTTTTAACCAGAAACCCCACCCAGTGGTGTGGCCCCATGGGTGTGACCCACATAGGAGAGGTGGTTTATGACTAGGAAGAACAAGGGTACCACACAGCCTAGAGATGGCAGAGCACGGAAGTCCTGAGCTCTGAGCTAAGCAGGCCTGGGTTGAAATTATAGAATTTCTCCTTATGAGCTGGTTGATCTCGTGGAAAGCACTTCTCTTTTCTTAGTCTCTGTTTTCTCATCTGTTGAAAGAGAGTTTTAACATGGACTTGGGAAACAGGTTACCAATGAGGGAGACAATTATGTGTTATTAATAATTTTTGACATTGACACGGTGGCTTGACTGTCACACCCATCACCTACCATGATTGTACCTCCTATCTTCCACCACTGTGATGAGACTCTGGGGTCTCAGCTCCATGACTTTTTGAAGGAAGGCCCTTTTCTGAAGTTCTTATGGAACCAGCTTCAGGAGGCTGTAAGTGTCTATGGTGGGAACTGCTCCACTGTGTGAATTCCTAACTACATGGGGCTCCCATTACTCTCTCTTCCTCTTCCCTCAATTCCCTCTCCACTTCAGGTCTCAAAGGAGACACTACATCAAGAGATAGTATATTTATAAGAAACACATTTTTAATTGCCATAGGTGCCCAGAGAAGGGCACCATGGTTAGGATTTAGAAGTGCTGAATATTTCTGAAAGAGATGATGTTTGGTCTGCACTTAAAGAAAGAGCACCATGAGAATCTAGGGGCTCATTCATGCACAGGTGGTAGCCCTAGCTGACATCAATGGAACCACAGTTGAGATACTGAAGAAAGACAGCATGGTGAGGTGTGAAGGGTGGGCGCAACGAGAGATGAATTCTTATAGATTTCCATGATGGCCTCAGTTCTCCCTTGACCCCATACCGCCTCTCTTTGCCATGCAAGTTTGTAGTGCCTTCTCACTCTGAGCCAGCCTGGGCATGCTTGCTTGGTGATGACAGAGGCACAGGAAAGCAAAGCCCAGAGTTCAAGGCTATTTCAACACACCACTGGTGTCAGATCTGCTTTCACCCATTGGCCAAACACATCCCATGGTTAAGTCCCTAAAATTGCCCCTGAGACCCAGCAGACTTGTGTGCAATGGCCCAGAGAGGAAGGAGACCAAAGCCAGGGAAACCTCTGTACCTTGAGACCCCTGCCCTCCTGCCCAGCCATTTTCTACCTCTCTGCACCATAGACACTGAGGAACGGGTATGGGGGAGTCCACGCAGGACCAGGTTGGGGTGCCAGTTCTTTCCTGTCGTTCATTGTTATTTAAAGAGGCCAAGGCTTCTGATTTGTCCTTCTCTATTTTTGCTTGGATGCTAGGAAGGAATGCAAACCCTTGTTCTGAATTCATCCATTTTTGTTCAGAGCTGAGTGAATACAAGATAGTGAGGACTTCCAGTTTCCCCATGACCTGTCAACAAATTCAAAGCCAGCTAGACAACCTGAGCACTTTCTAACCCCTAAGTAACACTGAACAGTTCCAAGACATGGTGAAGTAGTCCATAGGCATGGAGTAGAAGATCCAGTTCCAAGTACTGAATCGGACTGTTACCACTAGATGACATGGGAAGCATCCTTTCTCTCCAGGAGTGCTGATATTCTTCTCTGGCAAATGACTGCGAGAACATCAGCTTCCTTGGCTATCGGGGTGAAAGGGAGGTACAAATAGAAAGCTGCAGTATCACCTGAAGAGAAACGCCACTAAAATTATCATCCAAACCAGGGCCTTTAAAGAACCCATGGCGCTCACTACCAGACCTACAACAGTACAGAATCTAATAGGATTTTCTCCCCTCTAAAGTCAGTTCAGCAAATATCCTTTTGCAAAAGTAAATTTAACTCACAGTTTTCCTTCAGCAAATTGTAAGCCTTAAATCTGGAAGTACCATCATTGAGTAGAAGGTTTCTAGGTGAAATCCACATGGGCTTTGGTGGAAGTCAAATGTCAGAGATAATGAGGCTCCAGATAAAGGTACCCACTTTTCAGGAAGGCCACTGTGAGCCTCGGAGGATACGCAGGTTAGCAAGTTATGAACTAAAATAGCATATTAATCATCTCAGGAGGAAAGAAAAAAAAGGTCTCTCTGTGATACGCACACAGAGAACCATGCCTGGTTACTCACGAAGCCTGGGAACAGTTTCTCTGACTGCTCCAGGCTGTCAAGATACAGATCTCTCAAGGAACAGTGTCGAAGGGAAGGGAGCTTTCACTAAAACCAAAGCAGCCGAGATTTCCCATGTGAAAATTTGTCAGATACTAACAAAGGTTGGCACCACTGCAGAAACCAAGAGTTCTGCCTTCTCCTATCACAAAATTATACTCAGCAGCGATTCAGACCTCTCCCTCCACAGGGGGCCTGGAGCTTGTGTGGACTGACAGTGGAGACACCCTCTGCTCTTCATAAGAGTGTTCTACTGCTTTGGGGGAAAGGATGCCCCTTCCCATCCAGGTTCTGCAGGCCTCTTGTTAGAAGCAGTTCCATTTTCTCAAGCAGCCTCCCCCTTAACCGCCCCTGAGATCCCTGCCATCAAAAAAGGAGTGTCCTGTCCTGAACAATCAGTGTTCCTAAAGACATTTAATTTAAAACTCAATTATAACTAGAACCCTAGCAATTGTCACCATGCAGCTTTTGATTACAGTCAGCTTTTCCAGAAAGTAAAAGAAGTGACATCCTTCTTGGGGACATGTGGGAGACTTGAGAGGGTCCTTTGATGAGGAACCTTGCCCTTTGACCTAAATCTGCCTGAAATTCTTTCAAAGAATCTGAACTTAGTTTGAATTCTTATGAGAACACCACAAAAGAATGTCCTTGGAAGAAGATTCTCCTGGGGTGGTGTTAAGGTATCTAACCAGAGAGCATCTAACCAACAATTCCACTTTGCAGATGAGAAGACAGAGGCCCAGAGAGGGGAGGGAATTTGACTACGATCTTACAGCTAGTTAGAAGCAGAGTAAACACAAGACCAGGTCCTTACCACCAAACTTTCCACTGGTCCATACACAACTCCTTAGTAACATCTTGGCAAGTATGATTGGATCTCATAGGCCCATTTCTCCACCTTGACCCTGGAGGGAAAGGAGCAAGAATCATCCTCTCAGTATAGACCAGGAGACACAGTCATGAAACAAAGACAAATGTGATCCAACGGAATGTGTGCCTCCATCGAGGCTTGCCCAAGACTCCAGGGAAGAATGGAAAAGAGGAAACTCCCTCTGAGGATAGGACACCGGGAAGGCTCTCCAATAAGACAACTGCTGACTCAGAATATGGTTGGGATGTGGCAAGAAAACAAAGGAATGTGTGAAACACTCAGGGAGCCAGTGGAGGTTCTGAGTCTCTAGAAGGAAGAATGGTGAAGGGTGCTGGAAAATACTGCAGAATCAGATCCTGATGACTCAGAGTCCAGGATCAAAGCGTAAACAGCACGTGCTTCTTCTGAGGACTGTGAAGAAACATCTTTGGTATGCCTCTCTCCCAGCGTCTGGTGGCATTACCCCAATATCTACATTCATCCTCTTATGCATTCTCCTAGTGTACAAGTCTGCATCCAGATTCCCTTACTGTCTAGGCACACCAGCCATACTAGGTTAGTGCCCTCCTGAGGATGCCCTCCACACAAGGTTAGCTCCTTGCCCTCCTTATTCTAATTTAATTATTGCTGTGAAGACTCCATCTTCAAAATAGGCACATCCTGACATACTAAAGGGTTCATACCCCAACATATCTTCTTGGAGGAACACAATTGAACCCATAACAGAAGTCTCTGAAATGTTACAGGCAGGAGAGGGAACCTGTTCTATGCACATAAGATTGCCATCTTAGATACAATAAGGGAGATGGATTTAAGGGGATGGTGTCTGGTGGAGGGAGACAAGACGTAATGTCCATTTTATTATACTAAATGGGCAAGGAGCTAAGTTCTCTGCAACAGTAGTAAAATATAGAGGAAGGTAGCAAGCCAAGGGGTAGTAATGCACAATTTGGGGACCAATTTAATGCTGGAGAGAGACAGAATGGAAGATCCGAAAGGGCTCACAAGTTTTAGTTTGATGCGTCGACAGGACAGTGACACCATCTACCGAAAAGAGAAACACAGGGAAAGAGCAGATTCTAGTCTCAGGCTCCTTGAGTTTAAATTGTCTACCCAAATCCGAATGGAAATAGTATGCAGTAGAGAGTCAAGAACAGAATAGGGTTCTCTTGCCACAACCTATTTCAGAGGACCTAAGTGATGGCAGTCAACTGGGAGATTGTGATGCAAATGTGAATTCTGCAGAGATTCCTGGCTGCATAACCCCTCAGTGTACACACACACACACACACACACACACACACACACACACACAGATGTTTATGTGCTCAGAGTAGCCTCTGCAGTTGGGCCATCCAGCAACCCCAACTTGTAGTCCTGCACTGGCCAAAGATATAGACTTGGACTGTGGGCTTTATGTATACTTCTGACTGCTGCTGTACCTTACCACATTAGCATCTCTTTCTGCTCATTTTACATATATTATGTACATTTATGTACATCTTATGCTCCTGTAGCACTTGGTCATAGAATAATTCACTTAAAATACTTATTGAGCTTTTGTTAGGTGTCACATCCTGTGCTGGTCTTCAGAGGTTACTTAAGAAACAACCACTTTCCAGTTGAGAAGTCATACAAGTGCCCTCTGAGGAGGTGACATTTTAAGAGAGACCTTAATGATGATAAGGAGCCATTCCTTCAAAATGCCCAGAAGGGAAGGAGCACTGGGTATTGGTAAGTGTGGTAAGGCTATGTCAGGAATTATCCATGTATCTATTTTTATCATTATCATTATTTCTATTATTATCTATCACTGACTTTCTAAGCATCAAAAATTATGCACAGTAGCTCATCTTGATTCACAAAGAAGACACACCCAAGATCCCTAATGATGTCCAAAACAATGGACAGCATTAAATTCTTTATATATTGTTTGTTTGTTTTAACTATAATAAATAACAAGTTTAAGGCCTTTCTATGAATCCTGGCTGTAACTTTTACAACAACAAAACTGGATTGAATTTATTTTTTTTTCCTTCACAATTTCATGGATATAGGATTCATTCTTGCCATATCTGGTAGCAACCTCAGCATATGATATTTTATTCCTTATTAAGTTTGTAAGCTTCATCTTTTTACTTAAAGGGAGTACCTTATGACTTCTGTTTGACATGTTCAAATTCCCAGCATCACTGATCTTGTGCTTGGGGAACATCATTAAGTGAAATAATGGTTTTTGAATGCAAACACTGTGATACTGCGACATTCAATCTGATATCAAGATGGCTACCAAGTGACTAACAGTGGGTTGCATATACAGCATGGATACACTGAACAAAGGGATGACATCTTGGGCAGGATGAAGTGCATAAAATTTAATCATGCAACTCAGAACAATATGCAACTTAAAACATGAATTATTTATATCTGGTATTTTCCATTTGATATTGTAAGACAGCAGTTGACCACAGGCAACTGAAACCATGAAAATCAAAACGTGATATGGGGAGATGGGTATATTTCCCAAGTTACTCATCCAAAGAAGCATTCTCTCTTCAAACATTGATTTATTAAAAAAAAAAACACTTGAATAAAGCTCTTCTCTGTAATCACTCAAAATAACTTTAGTACTACTCTACCCCTCCTATACCATGTACACAGTTGTCTCAATACTTGGTCCTAAATTCTATATTTTGTCCCCTGACTTAGACCTTCTGATTTAGAAGTCAGTTAGGCTCTGTCCTTTGGTCTTTCCCAAACTCAGTTTTTCAATTTTGTGTTTGTTCTTCTATCCTGCACTCTGCCCCCTTCCCAGCCCCTCTCAGTACCCCTATGTGTCTCTACCTTGGCAAGACCTGTCTTCTACTTCAGTCAGTGAAAAAAGAGGGAAATTTGAGCAATCAGCTGGCAGCAAAGTAATTTTTTTGCTTATGTGTACTGATGATCACACAATCAAAATCTAATGTATCTTTGAAAAAAGGTCAGCCTCCAGTAATTCCCTGAAAACATAATTGGGACTCCATGGGGCAGGGGTGGGGGAGGAAGGACCTTGTGTCTTTCATTTCTCCCTTTGCAATTGGTTATTGTAAATGTAAAAGTTGGATGAAATGATCATAGCGGCACGATGCTGGCCCACTTAAAATTTCTATTATGAAACCCAGTTGCATAAGCAATAAGAGCAAATAAGTTATATTCTCAGGAACAAATTCTAGTGAATCAGCTCATTTTAGCCTCACATCTTCATCTTTCTCTGAAGTGGCTTATTTAAATTTTAATAGAAAATGTTCAATGTGGGGCTCGAATGGAGGGAATGAAAATAACATTGTTTATCCCCAAGATAAAATTGTGACGGGTGCAAAAAAGAGAAAAATATGATGCTAATTTCTTGAAAACAAACCTCCTATGTCCCACTTCATAGAAACTGGACAAAGCAATATAAAGTCTATTGTGCTGAACAAAAGCCACAATGGTACACTTAGAGACTCACTGTCCTTTTTTTTTTTTTTTCTGGCTCCTTAAAAGTATCACTCAAAATGGAAAAGTACCCCTTAGGAAAAGTGAGAAAACTTTGCAAAACAAAGTTTTGCCACCACTGGGGTTAGTCACAGGGGAAAAGGAATAGGAAATGACATGGGAGTAGTGAGAAGATCTTTCATGGACTTGGAAATTTAAAAAAACACCCTGGGGTCAAGTGCTGGCTTTTCCACCTACTAGCTATGTGATATTGGCTGTCAATTCATATGAGATATGATTATTGTCTCTAACAGAGAGTAATAACAACTCCTGTGTGGTGTCACCATGAGGAGGAAGTGGAATAATGTGACCAATCACTTGCATGGCCCATTCTCCTCCAGGGTGCCAAATCTTAGTGACCTTTATACTCTCCAAACCAACAGTTGGCCCATGAGGGCCCAAAGGCCAAATCTGGCCAGCTTCCTGAGTTTAAAGGTGATTCAAGGGAACACAGCCATGCCCATTGATGTACTAATGTCAATGTCTGCTTTCCCTTTCTCACTGAGCAGAGCTGAGCATTTGCAAGAGACCATATTGTCTACAAAGCCTAGAATATTTACTCTACGTTTACTCAGAAATTTTCCTGAAAAAGTTTAGCACGCTTGCTGCAGAGTTGTGAAATTTGGGAGTCTCTCACAAACTCAGCTCCTCACTCCCCATGTGGATTCTGCCTCCGAAACACCTCTTGAATTATTTTGCCTCTCTCCATCTCCTTAGCCATCCCCTGTCTCAGCACCATTGTTAGAACACTGGCCTCCCAAGAGGGAGTGAGTTTTCTTAAACACAAGCCATACCGAGTCAGTGCTTAAGATCACCCATTGCTCTTAGGATAATGTGAAACCCTGCAGAATTGGGTTCCTACCTCCTTGATGCCTTTGACATCTTTGAATGGCACCAGTCTTCTTTCTGCTTGTCCATTGAAGGAGGCCGGTTCCCTCTTGCCTCAGGACTACACATTGGATGATTCCTAGGCTGGAAACGGGATTCTCCTTAGGGCCTCCATCCTCTTCTCCTGGATAACTTCTACTCATTCCATAGCCTATAGAATAAGTGTCACCCGCTCAGGTACAACTGTCCTGATTCTTCATTTCTCTCCCAATTCCTAGTTACTCCTTATAATTGGAAATGATGCTAATTTCCTGGTTATTTTTGCTTAATATTGCCCCCAAGGATGAAGCTCTTGAGGACAGAGACTATGCTCATGGCCACCTTATCTCTAGCATGTGGCATATTCCTTTGCATAGCAGTATAGCATAGTGTGAGGGGGACGTCATGTCTGGGCTGCTTTGAATTGAAATCTCTATTTACCAGTTTTAGGACTAAAGCACTTTACCTGTTTGTGCCTCAGTCTATGCATATTTAGTAAAATGGGAATAATTGGGTATATCATGATATTACATCATAGGGTATTGTGAGGATGAGCTTATTTAATCTATGGGAAGCACTTAGGACAGTGTAGGCACAAGCTGAACACTATGCAGGCATTTCCTATTTGGATTAGGAAACATCAACAGAAATGGAATGAGAGGAGATAGGAGTGTGGCTCCATGGTAGAGTATTTGCCTAGCATGCATTAGGCTCTGTCTTTGATCCCCAGCACCACAACCAAAAGGAAAAGGGTAGAATGGAAGTATGATTAACTTCCCTCCATTCTTCTACAAGGGAGAATTGTTTCAGTGCTCATACCCATGCTCTAATCCTATCAGGCCTCTTGACTTCCCCCGGAGCCACCGGCATGGCACCCCTCTCCGCTTTCCCACATTCTGTTCTCTCATCATCCCGGGAATCTCTAGTGAACTTTGGTAATCAATCACAGCTCTTTGCAAATACCAGCTTCACCCAAAGTCACCCACTTCTCTTATTGACTTCTAGTTTCCAGAAAAACCAAAAGAAAATTAAACTCTTATAATGACATACATAGATAGAGAGACGAATGGACGGAATATAGATACATAGATTCACAGACAAATCTGTGAGTAAGCTGAGAGGCAGATAAATGGATGACATATGTGAAGACGAATAGAGGAAAGCAAGGAAAGAAGGATAAATTGATTGATTGATAGATAGCTCTTCTTAGCATATATATATATATATCAATTATTCCAAAATGCTTTGAGTTAGTTGTGTGTGCATAAGCTGATTAAAAAAAAAATGTTACTGCTTCAAGATTTCTTAACATGGTGTTTACACTTTAGCATAATAAAAAAAAATTTTTAAATTACTTTGATGTTTTCAGTAATCTATTCATATTATCTCTAGAAAAATTTAATTTATAAGAGGGCAAGAACCATATCGTACTTGCTTTGGAATGGCCTGAATGTTTTGTCTTTTTTTATTGCATGCTGCAGATTCTCAGAAAAGGCTTACTAATTTGCTACCAGGGGCTGAATCACTTCTGCGTCATCAGAGCCTACTGCAACTCAGTAGAAGGTTTTAGCAAATGTGTGCAGAATTGTATCAAAATAAAATACACCTTTGGCGTTGGGCTCTTGCTTTCTGAAATTAAATTTTAAGGGCCAGCAGCAATGCAACTCAACACAAGAAGGATGAACCTGTGCCATTTACTGAGCCAGAGGGAAGGGAAGGAGTCTGCTCCTGAAGACCAGTGCAGGAATGAGTCAGGCAGACCTGCTGAGAACTGGGCAGATGGCAGCAGTAGAGAGGGCAGTGAGATTGCCAATACACTGCCCCCAAGGCCAAGTTGAAAAACTCTGGTTCACAGGCATCTAGATCTTGTCCTCAGCGAGGTATTATTATTCATTACAACATAATCCATTGAACTATTATTTCCTCTGCAGACAATATGGGCCTCCTGAGGTCCTACACACAGTTTGGGGATCTACCATGTATGAAGCCGTAGCTAAGTGCCGGATCAGCCTGTTGTCAAGGAGCTCACAGCCTGAAGGGGGAGGAAGAGGTCTGGGAAGGTCAAGAAGCCACAGACACACAGAAGAATGAAGTCTCTGTGCTAGAAAAGCAATTTGTATATCTATCCTATTAGGTGAAAAGAGTGTGTTGTAAAAATATTTGTTGAAATAGATATAATTCTCATGAATTTTTCTACAGGAAGTCACATAAAAATGTATTTGCTTTTATGCTGCCTGTACATCAAAATGTGAGCAATCATGGCTCAGGTAAATTGGATTTGAAGTTCTTTAATGAAAAGAACTTTGTATACATTTTTAACAAGCTTAAAATTTTATTGTTTTAATTGGAAGATAAAATTGTACATATTGATCATATAAAAACATGATGTTTTAAAATATATATATGCATTGGGAAATGGCTAAATCAAGCTCTTCAACATATGCATTATCCCACACATCGTTGTCACTTTTGGATAATAGTGAAATCTATTAAAATCTTAAAATCTATTCTCTTAACATTTTTTTTCAAGAATACAATATACTGTTATTTTAACTAAAGTGACCACTTTGGTGAGGTCAACATGAATGTCAACATTCTGTTTTGCGAGAAGCCAAAGGAGGTCAGATAATCTCTCTACCTCTGGGTATCAAGGGTATCAGCATGTGGCCTACACATGACCAGGTAGGCAATCGCATATCACATGGAACTTTGAAGCTTGAAGGAGTGACTTTGGGTCACAAAAGCAAGGTTAAAGAGGCTGATTCGATAATCTACTGGTGTGGTAATACGTGTCCAGAAATACCAGACTGGTCATACTAATCAAGGGGGGTCTCTTGAGGGATGGGACTGGGCCTTCCCACCTTTGTCCCTGCCCATTTTTCAAGGCTGTTTCTTAGACTTCCTATCAATTTTGTGAGTCCTTCCACTTTACCTTCCCTTTAGTTAATTATCTGCTTAAATAAGCCAGAGTTGGTTTTTGGTGTTTGCAATCCACCAGCACCAATGATGATAAGCAACTACTGTGTGTAACTAACTGCATTTTCATTTTCTCTCCAATGATCAGAACAATATCATTAAGTGGACAGTATTCCAGCATGAAATTGTTTTTCTGAGATTCTAAACTCAAGCAAAAACTAGACAGTAGAGTTGTCCTAAAGAAAAGGAATTTATAATAACTGTTATTAGATCAGCCTCTAATCATGCCTAAATTTGCTGTGGCACACTGTGTATGAAAAGCCTGTGACCCAACAGACAGGAAGTACCTGTTGTGTGATATCTTTGTGGCAAGGTCTTCTCAAGTCATTTCTATGATTTGGTACAGATAAAATACTGTTTTGAAGTATTGAATCATAACTGTGCAAAATGCACAATTTCTAAATCTACATAATAATGGAATTTTTAAAAAGCCAAGAAAATGTTTCAAAAGAATGCATGTGGAAAATTTTAAGACCGAATTAAATCAATCTCTCCCCTCTCTCACTTTCCCTCCCACAATTATTATTTTACTCTTTTAATGCTGGGAAACCTAAACTCCAGAAATATCCCTGCAATAAGCTTTCCCAAGTCACTTCTTCTGTGCTCCTAGTGAGGAAACTGAGGCTCAGCTGGGCTGTAAAGCTTGTGTGTAGGATACTGCACTAATAAACACGAGACACAGCGCTTGCATTCATATTTCTCTCTTCGCTTCCCTAAAGGTAATTTTTCCGTATCAGTTTCTAATTCACTCCCTCTTTCTTATGATGTATTAGCAAAAAATTCAGAACAATGCTTGGTGTACTATATACAGTGTACATAGGAAGTCATGTATGCCTATGAACTGTTTATTATCGACTGCTGCCAAGTCATTGTGATGAATTTTTTCTTTAACCCATCCATCCAGTTTTAATTTCAATTAATTGTATTTTTGACCTCTAAAAGTTCTACATTATTTTTTTCTGAATCTGCTTGGTCATGATCAGTGTTCTGTTTTTCTCTGCTATTTGTGTTTTATCTTTTTTTTCTTTAAACCTGATATTGTTTGGTAGTATATCTTCTGTATCAGAGAGTCCCAGTATCTGAGAAGCTCAAGGGTCAGTTTCTGTCTGTGCCTGTTTCTGCTGTCTGCCACTAACTGTAGCCAGCTTCCACGAATGTCAGCAGTTTTCCTTAGGAGTTTTTTTGTGGCTGAAATTAACCTGCGGACATTCTGCAGGCTTTGAGGCAATGACGCTGGTGTCCCGGGAGAATCTATGCATGCTACTTCTGGGCTCTGCAGACGGAGCTCAGTCAGGATTGCTTTAATTTCTTGACTTTATTTTCCCTGACTCCATGTATGGTGCAGAAGTAGCTTTAGATCCACATGAGAACACTGGGACTGGTGGTAACGAATTCCAGTGGCGATGAGTATTATCATTATTACATTAAATCCAGACTCACAATAGAAAAATGCATGCTATTTTCTTTTCTTTGGTCTAGCTTTTACTGACCATGCAGGCCCTTTGGGAGTCTTTTTTGCTGTTTTGTTTTTTTGTTTTTGTTTTTGTTTTTTGAGTGTATCTTGAATCCAGCCTCTCCTGCTTCAGTGGTCCATTTTCTCAAATCATATGTGACCATAATCCTCAGAGCTTTAGGTACCTAGCCCTGTCCTTTTACTCAAGATAACTTTGCCATCATGATTACTCACCTCTCTGATTTCAGTTCAGTTTGTTTGTTTGAAGTTGTGGTCTTTACGACATTCCTCCTGTCTTTATGGGCTCAGCAATGCACATACCAGTGTGGGGTGTGAGGTTTTGTAACGTGTAGATACCCACATTGGGAGAATATTCCAGATTGTCTTATCCACCAAATAGCTGGAAGAGGAAGTTCACACAACTGTCAGGAGTGACCATAAATAAAGCACTTATCCGGGACACGCCCACCAACCTGGGAGGAAAAGGATCAGATAGAAACTTCACCTACTTGTCCCTGAGGGCTATGGGAGATTGCCTCACCTGTACTCTGAAATTGTTTTTCCTTTGTCCTTTCTAGACCACAGCACTGAAATTTCTGGTCACCAAGGACACCAAGAGGCCTACACTGATCCCTTATCCACCTGAGGGGCTCAGTTTCTCTACCTGTATAATGGAGTCAATCAAAGGGAAAACCCCATAAGTTGCCACAAGCATCAAATAAGAAAATCAATATAAATTGTTTGGCTCCATATCCAGTGTATTGTAAGTGCCAAATAAATGTTAGACATTTTTCTAATGTTTTACAAATGGACACAGTGGCTTTATTTATTTTTATGTGGTGCTGAGGCTGGAACCCAGTGCCTCACACATGTGAGACAAGTGCTCTACCACTGAGCTACAACCCCAGCCCTGTTTTGCTATGACTAATACATCAATATTAGTTAGTGAACTTAAGGTAGAAATTTTGTTCATTATGACTTTTTCACTGAACAGATACTAAAAGTATGTTTAGTGTGTTGATGTCAATACTAAAAATGAGGCCACAGATTCTGTAAACTGCAGACCCACCCTATTAACATCCATGCTATCCCACAGAGCTACGTGAGGATTAAAAGAAAATGGAACTTGGCTACCTACCACAGCAGAATGGCACAGACCCATCTGTACTCTTGATGGAGATCAAGGTCATGGGAACCTCAGAGTATGGCTGTGGAACGAGAGCAGTATGTGAGACAGAACTGGGTAGAACACTGTGCCAGATCACTCACCCAGGCATGATCAAGGGCTTGATGGGCAGATATGCCCCCTGGTTAGAGTTCTTGGGACACTGGGAGATATTCTAACACAGAGTAATCTTCCTGCTCAGGATCTCACTATGGATGACTGAGAATGACTCTCAGCAATCTTTTAGTTTCTCAAATTTTAAAAAATTTTTTCATATACATATATAATTTATAACATATGTTTTATATGTTATATATAAACATATATTATATATAATGAAATACATATAATACATATATACATATGTATAAAACATACTAGAGAAGAACAATGAGAAATCAAATAAAGGCACAGTCTTTAAAATGCACCTGGGAGATTATATTTGTATCAATTTTGATATTCTCATCTATATCTATTCCCTTTTTTTCTCTCTCTCTCTCTAAACACACACACACACACTTTTTTATCTCCCATTCCTACCATATTTTCCATGCAAAGGGGGTTATCTTTTGTGGTTTGGCAAGCATCAGGAGATTCAGGGATGGTCCTGAAATGTAAAAACTCACAGTAATAGTTCTTATCTCTCCCTCTCTCTTCTCTCTTCTCTCTCTCTCTCTCTCTCTCTCTCTCTCTCTCTCTCTCTCTCTCTCTCGATGTCACTTGCCTGTTCAGTTTCTTGAGACATAGATTCCTCATTTATACTCATTAGAATGTGTTAATGAGAACTCTGAAGAAAGAAAAATGAGGAAAAACTAAGAAGGGAAAAGAGAAAAAAACACATAAAAGAGTTGGCTTCTAGTTGGTAGGCAAAACACAGCAGTAAGTAGAACAAAGACAGATCGTAGCTGTGGCCCTGATGTATCATTTATTCAATAAAGGCGTTAATCACTCCTTCCCCAGCCCCTGTGCAGACATGGAGCGCACGTCAACAGCAAGCACTGGTTTTCAACTCAGTAAACCTATTGTGAGTACTTATCAGTCAGAAAAGCACATGGCTGAAAGTATGGGGAAATATGAATCTCAAAAATCCATCTCTTTCCTTTCATCCATATCCACTCATGTCAACAATCATCACCTCTGAGGCTCCTGGGCAGTCTGTTCTGCTACACAGTACATGGCCTTCAGTAGGTATTCAGTACATATTTGCACAGTGAATAAATAAGTAGGCCTCTTTAGATGCCTCAACACAATACAGGCACATCACAACACCAACAGGCAGGGTCACGCCTCTTTCTTCAAAAACAATTCAAGACAGTAGAGGAATAGCCATTAGTATGAATCCTTGTGTTTCCTTCCTTTAATTCATCCCAGGTTTGGGGCTCCCTTTGCTTCATTCATTTTGGTAGATTTTTATCCCACTTCAATTCCCCTCTTGAGTTCAGTTCCAGCAACTTCCCACCTGTCAGATCATTTTGTCTTTGTCAAAATATTCCACCTCAGACCTTTTGGAAGGGTCTGAAGTGTGGGGTCATCTTTTTAAAAGGAACCTCCAGCACATAGCAAGTTTTGATCTCACCCAGCTCTGCCTTTCCACTCTGCCCTACTGGGTGAAATGGGGTGTTGAAATGGCCAGAGTTTTGTACCTTTTGAGAAGATTGCCTGAAGGAAATGAGAGATAATGGTGAATTAGGCCAGAGGTAGAAGCTTAAGATAATATTTAATCATCCATCTGTGAAGAAATGAAGGTCTGAACTAAGGCGACGATGGGGAGAGAGAAGGAGAAGGAAATGGAAACAGAGGAAGGGAGGCGAATGGCCTGCAAAAGTGACAGGGTGGCATTCAGAAGCCAGGGGCTCTGTTGGACTGGAGATCTACAAAGCACCATGCTGCCCCCAAAGAAAGTGGCCTTTACAGAAAAGAGCCACCAAGGAGGTCATGAGCTGAGGAAACAGGAGCTGAGCCCTTCATGCAAACAGTGAGCAGCGGGTGGGGTTCCAGGTGGAGATGGTGATTAGGGAGCACCTGGTGGGAACCACAGAAGCAACTTAGGTCCTGAAATCTCCAGGAGTGACAAGGTAAGCAAGATAGGGAGGGCATGTGTGGTCCTTGTGTGCCGAGCCCCCTTTTAAAACAGAACCAGACTTTTCCCTGGGAACCAAATTATTGTGAATCAGAAATTCTGGCCACTCCCTGACCCTGGCTGTCAAAATGATTGAACCAATAACCAATTAAGCTAATTCGAGGAGGATTCTAGCATCTGGGCCTAGTCATTGGCTCAAGTCTGGCCAACTGATCTTTAAAAATCCTCATAGAAGTATTCAGAAGCTTGAGATGATCTGTTCTGAGGCATTATGGTTGTTTTATTTTTTCTAGCTAGAATGGGTGAGCTTTATTTTTTCTTTCCTTTATCCATCTCCTACATACTGTAGTATCACAGGGATCTTTATGTAATAAAGTTTGTAATAAAAATTCAATGTCAACTAGCTTAAGAGATTAAGAACAAAAAAAATTTTTAACCTGATTCCCAGGCTACTTTTCCTCCCCCTATACCCTACTGACTTCATCACCCTGCAGAGACTTCTGCAGAGTTGTGCAACAGAGACAGTATGTTCCCTCTGAGAGAAGAGATTTCTTCTGCTAATTACACAACTGTCCTCTCACCATTTCTGCCCTGCTCCCACTTCACACAACTTTCTAAACCCAGAGTACAAGATGCTGTTACTTGATATTGCACACCCATACACCCGTGCCTTTGAAAGTGTCAGTGGCTTTTATCTGTGGCTGTTTTCCTAGTTCCTTTTCTTTTCCTGTGCTGAGATTTTTCAAGGTAAAATATTAGTTTTAGAATCAGAGGTTAGGGATGAGCCAATAACACCCGATGGTTGTAAAACTGAAAAACTATCAAGCAAATACCACTTTTTCTGCATTGAAGGCACATAGCTGTGTTACATCCCAGAGTTTGCGGGATGATGAGACATGATCCTCACCTAGGTACTGACATTCTGAGATGAACCAAATCTGTCTTGCTCAGCTGAGGTTCTGCAAGTTTTCTTCCAGTGTGAGTTTCATGTGTTGAACGTGAAGTATGTCTTTGGATACCTCCACAAGGCAAATTTATTTTGGTCTGGTGTTCACGAGGTCAACAAAATTCCATTATCAGTGGAGTGGGCTTTTCAGGACTATGAGGAAGCACATATGGAAACACATGGGAGTGATTTGGATAGGAATATTTAAGTAATCCCAAATGTTTGAAATTCTGTCTCCTAGATGATTCATGCCATTAGATGGATAAGGGATATCAGCAAATCACAAGAAAACTTGCTAAACTCAAGGACCAGCTCAAAACTGTAATCCAAGGGAAAGTCCAGACTCAGCATATAAATAATTACTCATATTTTTCTAAGTCTTTTCCATTTGCAAAGATTTCTCTTACAGGCTCTTACTTGAGTTAGGGAGAGCAGGTACTATTAATTTTATCCATTTTTTGACAGTTGCTGGAATTAAGGTGTAGAGTGGTTAAGCAAATTTCCAAAGGTCAGACAGCTAACAAATGGGAAGGTGTGACTCAAAGAGCATCCTGCATTTATATCCAGGAGGAAGCAAGAAGGAGGCTGGAATCCACAGTCAGAGACCTTGACCCTGTGATGCTGGACCAGTTACTTAATCACTTTAACACTGGCTGCCTCATGTAGGAAATGTGGGTATACACCCAGCCTAGAGCGGAATCTGTGTCAGAGTATATTGTATACAGGTTCAATGTGTTCTAGAATTATCATCCCAAAGTTGTAATTAATATATAGATGTTTTCATATTCCGACAAAAAAAGCATACAAGATTCTCAGCAATCAGTGAAATATTTATTTTCGGTTAACAACACCAACACCACCTCTGCTTGCTTATTTCCTATTTCAAAACATGACTCTACCATCAACCCAGTTCCTCCAGGTTGAAACCTGCAAGGCAGCCCATGCACCTCCTCCTCTTTGACCTTGATATCCCATTAGTCATTGAACCTTCCCATGGTGCCTTCTTACAATGCCTCCTAAACCTGTTTTCTCCCATCCATCAACATTACCAGTGTTGCAACCCAATCATCATGCTAGGGCAGTCTGTATCTGGTCTCAACCCACCCATTCTACCCTCCTGGATGCTGTGCACTGTGAGTCTATAAAAGACATGTCTTATTGTGGGATCAGACGGTGTCGAGTTATCCAGTCTCTCCAACTGCCTCTGGAGATCCACAATCACTGTCCTGACACCTAAGACCCACCACCACTTCATCTCCACCTTTACCTTCAGCCTCATCTTCCATTCTCTTCCAAAATCTTCCTGGTCCATGCCTACCTATTACAGTTCTCTACAGGTGTCTTGCTCTCTCTCACTCCCATGGTTGCTCTCTCTGTTTGGGAAAGATTTACTCACTTTATTCTTTAGAAAAAAACTTCATCATTAATGTTTGGTCCAATATTAACATCTCCTCTTACTGCTACTTCCCTGATGCTCACCGATAAGCTGGGTGACATGCCCGACATGCCCCCTCATGTGCTCCTACCATACCCAGTGACTGGTAGTCTATATATCTCTAAGGAGGAAGTTAAAAGGTGCAATTTTCTTTCAGGGTTAAAGGAAAATCCTAAGGATCTCTGGATTTGCCTATTGCAATCCTCATTTGCCAACTGAAAGATCTTAGATAAGTTAAGTGACCCTTCCATGCCTCATTCTCAAACTTGTAAAAGAGTAAAAAGTTATGTTTTAGTTTCTCATAGCTGTAGGAGCCAATGACCAAAAACTTGTTGGCTTAAAACATCAGAAATTTATGCTCTCACAATGCTGATAGGTCCAAGTCTGATAACCAGGTATCAGCAGGGCCACGCTGCCCTGACTGTTGGCAGCAGACAATCTAGTCCTCACTCATCCATTTTCTAGTGGCTATGGGCCTCCATACTTGTGGCTGCATCATTTCAGTCTCTACTTCTATCATCATATCACCTCCTACTCTCCTCTGTGTCTTTTACAGGGATGTTTTTCATCAGATTTCAGGCCTAGTGCAAGAATCAGGCGATCTCTTCATCCAAAGATCCTTAGTTACTTATGCAACAACTTTCCCAATAAGGTCATATTCACAGGTTCCAAGGATTAGGACATGAACATCTCTTGTGAGGAGTCATCATTCAACCCACTACAAGATAT